GTTTGTGATGCAATATGGTCTACTATATGCAATAATAAATATTAGTTACTAAAAATTCCCAAGCATGGAGAAAAAATTTGCGACATCTATATTTGTCATTGCTCTATCTTATAGGGATGGAGGGAAAAAATCATGACATTTGCATCCGTCGCCACTAATCTTTATGTTGAACAACATTTTTCCCTCTTCTATTCCACTATTGTTCATAAATAAATGGTTTTAAACTAACTAATAAATACATTGTAAAATATTGATTAGTATATATGCACAAACATCCTTTTTTTTTTTTTTTTCCATATGCTATTGACTATTACTTTAAAGGTAACATATAGAACTATTATATTTTCCGAACATTCACTGATTCACTCGTTTGCAAATACCCTACAACATTTTCTACTTTTTGCAACATTTAGTCATCACATTCTTGTTAAAAATGCTATTAACTAAATAATCATAATACTTAACTTAATATAATAGCATAAATGTTAATAACTAAACATATGCCATAATTAATTCAATATAATAGAATTGAACCCACTTTAAATAAAGATGAAATTAGACCTCCACATTTTTACATTTTACATTTCAATAATCTAATGATAAAAATTTTCTTTCAAAAATCAAGTGTACTCAATCCCAGTCTACGTCCACCACTGCTCGCACGGGAGCTTCCTCCCACGCTATCCCACCCACATCCATTCCACAACCAAACCCACCCTAACCTTAACTCATTTTCCACCCCAAAAATGGTCTTAGATACTGCTGTTTCCATAACCCATACCCCATTCCACATCGCTACTACCACCTTCCTCTCCTGCGCTACCATTGAAAATGAGTGTTGATATGCAGTCGGCCACTGCCACATGTATATCTGTCTATTCATGCTAAAAAGAAATAATAAATTTTTAAGCCAACTTGTGAATGGTCAATGTGATTCCATATAGAGGAAATTAGGCCTAGTACGACAAAATCAAGAAAATAGATTTATGCCCTTAATTGTCATTAATTTTTAATTAATTGCAATTTATACATGAAATTTTATTGTAAAGTGATTGCTACTCTTTGTTCTGAAATTGACATGATATGTCAATTTTTTGTTTCAAAAGGGAGATGCCACATTGAATAGTGATCCAACATTACAACTATGTGATCGAATGGTTACAACCATTGCGATAGAATGGCCATTAAATTGCTTACTAGAATTCAACTAGGAAGCCTTATTAGTGCAAGGTGTTAATTTCAAAATAACAAATCTTATCTGAGATAAGTATCATCTAACAATATATTTGGAAATGATATATGGACCAAATTCATCTAGAAAAATAACCCATGTTTTGCATGTGATTGTTGAGTCACAGAAACAAGGAAGTTAATAACGTTATTTGAACCTATTGAATGTTTGTATGTTGTACAGTTAAATATCTACACAAGGACATGATATATCACTTTCTATTTTTAAAAGTGACGTACTGCTAGTATTTTTTATTTCAAAAGTAAAAATGACGTATAAAAGTCTCTACCATGTATTTTATTCAAAATAGATAAATATTCTTAATTATCATTTATCTTTAATTATCCATAGATCATACATAAAATTCAATTATAAAGTGTTGGCTATTTTTTATCCTAAAATTGACATGATATGTCACCTTTTGTTTTAGAAATGACATGTTATGTTTAACTGTGATACAACCATGTGATCAAATGGTTACAGCAATTGAGATTGAATGACTGTGTTAAATTGCCTCTACTGGAACTAACTTGGAAGGGTTCTGCTGCCTTCACAGGCCTGTACAGGCCACACACATTATAGGGGGTGGGGTAATTTATTTATTGTTTAAATAATTACCCACCTGCCCACCCCCCTCACCCCAGCATGTGAGGGGCCTGTAGAGCAAACATTTTCCAACTTGGAAACCTTGTGAGTGCAAGGTGTTAATTTCTCTTTGTAATGTGTTTGTAACTGTTTATTTCAAACGTGACATGATATGTAACTTTTTATTCAAAACTAATAAACTGTGTTAGACAAGTATCATCTAACAGCATGTCGTAGAATGATATATGGCCGAAATTCATTTGGAAAAACAACCCTTGCTTTGCATGTGATTTATGAGACACGCAATATCATATTAACCTATTGAACTTATATATGTTTTATGGATAAATTTCTATATAATTGACATTATATGTCACTTGCAGTTTCAAAAGTGAAATAATAACTCTAGTATTTTATTTCAAAAAGTAAAAATGACGTATAAAAGTTTTAATTTATATTCTGTTCTATAGTAGCAAAAAAATTAAGAACAATCCAAAATAAAATATGTATTCTTCCCACTCTTTTTTCTTTTGAGGCTTCTTCTTCATAGTAACAATTGAAATGAGTTCACTTCTTATTTCATTTTTGATTTCTTTGACTCCCAATATGCTTTTATAAATATCAATATCAAGTTCTTCATTACTTGGTAGTCTTTGAAGAGACGTTATCATCAAATTATGAGTTTTACAAATCTGTAACTTCTTCATGTTGTTTTTTTCCTTAAAAAATAACGACCTTGAAATCTTTCAAGTCTTCAAAACATTTAGTTCTATGACATTTTGATATTGTTGCGTCTATACACAATGAAACAGTCGTATTAGGCACTGTTATTATTTGTGGGCTGTCTCACTATTTCTTTCTGACCCAAAAGGATTTAAGTAGTCCTGGACCATTATTAATTCCGGGTTCTAAAAGCGTGTTTTGTTTAGAAGAAACGTGAATACCTCTTTAATGGGTGTAGATCAGCAGTCCACGTGGCTGTATCTTGGCCCTTGGTTTGTGATGTTTGGCCATTCAAATACTTGGTTTTGGCCCTTATGCTGGTTAAGAGACTTTGTGCCCTTTCGCCTGTTTTCTCGTTTTCTCTCTGAGTGAAAGATTAGGGTTTCTGATTTTACTGTAAATCCAAGATATTCTTAGTGTTTTCTCAATCTATTTTCTTAGTGATGGATTATGATTGTTATTGTACAGTCTATTAGTGATTGAGAGGTATTTTGGTTGTTCTGTGTAGAAAGGCGAAAGGAAATTCGAAGAAACCTTTGGTTTCTTCATACATTATGTACTGTTTTTGGTTGATACTTCGTGGGTCTTGAGCTATGTCACCTTTTGATGATGCTCAACGGATGATTAGGTCAAAATCCTGAACATCCGGGCTCTTTTGGGGCGAAACATATCTTTGTGATTGATTTTTTATTGTTCTGCAAATATTAATTTTTCTGCTTAAACGAACGATCCTATTTCGATTCTTAGTGATTCGACATAACAAGTGGTATCAGAGCAAATGAACTAAGAAGTAATATAGACTTCTAGATCCACTAGTAAAGATCAAGTAATAGTTCAGCAAGGTGGAGATTGCTATTATTTGTGGGCTGCCTCACTATTTCTTTCTGGCCCAAACGAATTTAAGCAGTCCTTGGACCATTATTAATTCCGGGGGTCTAAAAGCGTGTTTTGTTTAGAAGAAACGTGAATGCCTCTTTAATGGGTGCAAATCAGTCGTCCACGTTGCTGTATCTTGCCCTTGGTTTGTGATGTTTGGCTGTTCCAGATACTTAACTTGGTTTTGGCCCTTATACTAGTTGTGAGACTTTGTGCCCTTTCACCTATTTTCTCCTTTTCTCTTTGAGCGAAAGGTTAGGGTTTCTGATTTTATTGTAAATCCAAAATATTCTTGGTGCTTTCTCAATCTGGTTTCTTAGTGATGAATTTTGAGTGTTATTGTACAGTCTATTAGTGATTGAGAGATATTTTGGTTGTTCTGTGTAGAAAGGCGAAAGGAAATTTGAAAAACCTTTTCGTCATACATTCTGTACTGTTCTTGGTTGATACTTAGTGGATTTTGAGCTATATCACCTTTTGGTGATCCTTAACGGGTGATTAGGTCGAAAGGTTGAACATCCGGGCCATTTTAGGGCGAAGCATATCTTTGTGTTCGATTTTTTATTGTTCTGCAAATTTTAATTTTTCTACTTAAACGAACGATCCTATTTTGATTCTTAGTGATTCAACATAACAGGCACCATGTGACCTTTTAATTAAAAAGTGATACAACATGTCACTTTCAGATAAACAATATTAGTTCAGATCAAACTCAACAAAGTAAGAAGTAAGTTAAATTAGATATCGTGGCCTTCTTGTTAAAAAGTGACAAAGCACATCACTTTCTAATGCAAAGCAAATCCTTAATAATAATTCACATTTGTATTTCACAAACACCTCGTATGCATTTATCTAATTGATCCATTTTATGTATACTAAATCAAAACATTAATTCAAAGTTGAATTTTTATGTATACCAATATAGAACCATAAATAAAAAGTTGAATTTTCATATGAACAAACGTAAAATTGAATAATCAAACAAAACTTAAAATATTTTAATCAAAATTCAAAAATTACTCACACGAAGGATTTCTATTGATTATATGCAGATTTTCAGAAAATATAAAGAAATTTCCTTTGAAAAAATGTAACAAAAATGTCATTGACTGTAGATTTTATCTGGAAAGCAAAATATTTTGTTTTGATTTTCGATTTTGAGGTGTTGAATGATTATCGCGTTAAGAAATATAATGATTTAGAACGTGTTTTATGCGTTCCTAAGGATCAATTTTTGGTATTTAAGTGTATTTGTGTAAGTTGCCTTCCATATGTTCAATGCCCAAAAACTAGTGGGTAGGATTTGGGTCTCTTCTTGAAAAGAGGGGGCCCAACATATTTATTTAGAAAAGAATCAGACCCTTTTGCATGGGATCTATATAGGTGCACACACATGGAAGTGGACCCCATGATGTGCAAGTAGCACAATTGTCTAGAAAAATATAAACATGTCAATGTAGTTATTTTAGTATATAAAATTCAATCTATAAAGATATCATTATTAGAAAAGTCGCATAAATAATATACTTCTATTGGTTTACACGATTAAGTTGTTCTCTTATTCTAATTTCCCTGTTCTTTTTTGGACAAATTCATCTAAGATTATTTAAGAATCTGGTATCCAGCTTTTGTCATGACATGAAGAACAGCCATCCTCAGCCACATCAGTTATTTGCAGCCCAGAATCATAGATCACACCATTCTTCCAATCAGCAGGAAGCACACCTTTTGCCCAATACCATTTCCCGTCGTACCCGGCTGTCACAGCGAATCGGAACTGCAACGCCCCCGTTGGAACTCTACTGGTTTCCCAAATGGCCCCGTGACTTCGACTCATGAAGGTCCAATTGGACGAATCAGCTTGTGCAGCTACATCGACCGCGACAATTTCAGTTTTTCCACCTTGATACAAGAACTTTATTGCCAAATAATGTGGCTTTTGGCTAGATTCTTCGACTCGAATGGCCAAGTTCTTGTTTTTATATTCACAAGGAACCCTGTTACACAATTATATTCATGATCAGACAACCTCAACAGAAATTCACTCAATAAATGCCCACCAACGTTTACCAAAAGTAATCATATTGGCCAGTTGATGTCTGTCCAGTGGGAAAGCTCCAAGACATGACATGGCCCAGTGCTTTTAGTGTTGGACCAATTGACACTCTTTTACATGGTGGGTATAACTAAACCACTACATTAATTAATCTTATCACAAAAGTCACTCCATTTCATTAAAACTAAGGACTATTAAAAAAGGGGAAAAAAAATTTGAAAATTTATTCATTGATGTTACCTTTTGTACTCGACATTGGCAATGCCAAGTTTCAAAATGTTCTGATCCATCCCCTTTTTAGCCATGGCCATGAAAGCTCTGCTACTCACAACAAAATCGGTCTTGTTATCGGTGTTGCGATCGGTTACGATCACCGTAGTCCCCTCCTTAGAACAAAAGGCGGTGTCCTTGCATCTTATCTACATTCAACATATATCCAATCAATTCCAAATTATTACTTTTTCAAAAAATAAAAAATAAAAATGTAAAGGGGTTACATTAAGCTTAAACGTTGCTGATAATACAATATTTGTACCTGAAAACATGCACCACAACCAGCTCCTTCCTTGTACAGAGTGGCGGTGGCTGCTGCAAGGCGGCCGCCGTTGAATCCTATAGCCAAAGAACCATAGCCACAAGCACCAGCTGCAATGATAATTATATAAGTAAATACAATTCCACACTAAAATTATAAGTAATTAAGGGGAAAAAATGATTCTTACATTGAAGGGCTTCAGCTTTAGAAAAGAAAGAAACTTTTGTTTGATGCACACAGTGTTCACAATCAGCAGTTGCAGAGGAGAAGAGAAGGAAGATTAAGCAAAGTAAGATGGGCATATTTTTTTTTTTTTTTTTTCGTTGAGGAATGTATGAATATTGTTGAGAAAGAAAGGAGACTGAAGAAGCTAGATATAGAGAGAAAACGTGTGAAGAGATGGTGGAGTACAGGTCAGAGATTAAAAATAGGCAAACTTTGCATATTATTTTGTTCATTCATCACTAACAGTCGAAAGTTCTTACATAGAGGAAGAGGAAAACAGATGGGCGTTTTCAAATAGGCGGCGAGACAATATTCATTATTACGCGGAGAACTTTTTGCCTATGCATAAACAGCTGGAGAGAACAAGAAACCTTGTCCTAGCATTAGCATCATCATAATGAAATCTAGCACAACCATATCATGTGTCCTACTAAACGGGCGGTATTTCATTGTATTTAATTGAACTTATAATTTAACGTTGGTAGAACTGTTGCTAGGACTGGTGTTAAATATCAGAATGCTAAATAATATTATTCTTGACATTGAAATTGCAGGATAAAATCTTGTTTGTGTCAACTAGGGGCGGAGCCAAAGAGGATGAAACGTACCCCTACTAATGGTTGTGCTAGGTACGAGGTCGGTCCATCTCAGATCAAACAACTGCTTCTGAATATTCGAATGTCAAGTTGGGCACCCTATCATTGTAGGGGACTTGTGAACGAATTGAACAAAGTCGTTTGTCGACCGGTGGACTCATCCTCAATGCCGTTTAGGCTCCCCTGTTCAATCGGTTGTCTAAAAATATTGAAAGGGAAAAATACTTCGAAGATGAACCTGTTCCCATGCAATAGTCAGGAATTCTTGACGGCATCAAGCTGGATCAACATGTTCTTCCTGAATATCCCAGCTCTACGGTCCCTCACAGGGCCGAACAATGTCCAAAGGTCAATGCCTTGATTGTTGAAGAAGACAAAGCGCTGATTGAAGAATACATTTTGAGTGTCGATCCCCTTCCATATCATTATATATATAGGATTCGCGACTGACTGTTATTTCGGGTGTGGTAGATCAACAACCTGAATTACTACATGAAATTTGTGGAATTGCAAAAGACAAGTGAACTCGGCATGCACATGAATTTTTTTATTTTTATTTTTTTCACTAAAAAAATAGTTTGGGCTTGGGCAGACTTGGGCCCCCTTCCTTCCGCCCTTTATGTAAACCATAACACCTAACATAAATTTTATTATATTTTTTATTAGTTTGAGTTCAATATATACCATTTGTCGGTATACATCGGATTTTACGTTCTACTACATTTTTGTTTGCGATCGGAAGGTTAAAAGGGAAAGAAAAGTACTTGTGAGATGGAACAAGGTTGGTGAAAGTGATAGTGGATTGCTTGTCGTTGAGTGGAGAAAGAGGAACAAATAAGCAAAGTCCAAATAAGCCTTTAATTATACTAATAACGCGCGTTCACTATCAGCGTGTTTGGGAGTGATTTTTTGGTCCAAAAAATTGATTTTTTGAACGTTATTTCACTATTTCAGCCGTCATATTTGACTTTTTCTCTCATAAGTGGACCCCACTTTTCTCTTAACAGTCAAAAAATCAATTCTCAAAATCCCTCCCAAACAGGCTCTATGTCTCTCTATTTATTATTTACATTTATTTATTCCTTGAAATGCATCTCCACTGATAATGGATTGAAATTTGGGTGTTATCAAATTATTTACTGAATAGACAATCAAGTTCAAATTTCATCTCCAACAATTCCATCTATAATGCCTATCTTATCTAATACATTTTTAATAAGAGAGAGAAATTAATAAACATGAACGAAAATATAAAAAATACGAGAGATAAAGAGAAAAAATATTAAATTATGATAACTCACTCTATCTGAAAAGAGCCTACATATATAAATGACTCTCTTGATGGTACTTTTTTTTTTTCTTGTTGCATAAACTATACATAATCTTAGACATATTACCCCGTTTGGCCCACATTATCTTTCTCTTTTCTTTCTTTCTTATTTTCAACTACATAATCTTCCATAAAATAATATTATAAGTAAATCGAAAACTTTTAATTCTTTTTTAACCACACATTCTTTAAAAAACATCATTTCACACATTAAAATTTGGAAAAATGGGGGCTAAACAGGTTGGAGAGGAACTTTCAAAAATATTGTCCATTTGAACTTACATTACAATCTTTTTTAGAGCAATTCACGTGAACGTCGAAGATGCTCTAATGGTTTCAACTAGAGAAGTACATCAACAAAAATCTCTAGCAATAAAACAAGGGATAAACTTGGTTAATTATATTTATATTTATTTTTTGAGAAAATTAAATTCACGACCTAAATTCTTTGGGGGCAGTTGGCACTTAGGTCCCATTCTTTTATTGTGGGTGGTGGGTGGGAGTCAATTCCTTTGTTTTTTTTCAAAATTTTTGTTAGTGAAGGTTAAAATGGTCATTTTAAGCAAATATCTATCCTCTACATCTAAGTTGCATGCAGAATTAATGATATTACTTTGCAAGAAAATTAGAGTCCGAGATCTGCATGTCAAAAAGGTTGAAAATGCTGCATGGAACCCCTCTTGTAAGGGAATGTACACCGGAGTGTACGAATAGTAAAACCCTACTAATTTTTGAAGTAATATGTACTTCAATTTTTATTTTCAACCTTTTGACATGCAAATCTCGAACTGCATGGGCCCCCTCTTGTGAGGGGAGTGTACATGATCAAAGTGTACAAATAGCATTTCTCAAATTAGTATGTCGACTTTGGTTGCTCTCCATGATAATTCTAGCCTATGTCCTTTTATCCATCAAAAATCGATTTTACGGTACAGACTAAAGTTCACGGAAACTGGTGTTTTTTGCTTTCTTGCATAATCGTTCGACAAAAATTAATTCCATTTTAATACATTAGAATAAGATCTGTAAGACAAGATTTGAAATTAAAATATGCAGCTGGTTTTCAGGAAAATAATGTGAGAGACAATAATTAACAACATAAGACACGTAATACGAAGATCCAAACAGTGCGGTCGCTAAAAAATGGCCAGTGTACCGGCATGGAAAATGATTAATTAATTTAATTATCTGCTAAGTTAATCTTAAAAAACAAGTTTCCAGTTCTAGAATTTGATTCAAATCAGCCTGCTACGTAATTTGACATTTTTTGTGAAGTGCATATCCCAAATGCCATGATCAGAGGCGAATCCAAAAGTTTGAGTCAGTACGGACGACCATTGATCATCTACCGTTGGGCACAATAAAATATTAAGAGTCTTTTTGATACCCCTTTTTTTGTTAAAAAAAAAAATTATATGCATTTTGAAATAGTGATTTGATGGAGAACGTGTGACTAAAAATAAAAAATAGTTTTGAATTTATGTGCAATATTATTTTATTGAAAAATATATGGATGAAAAGAAGAAAGAAAAAATGCATTTTGAAAAAAAAAAAAAAAAGGAATCGAACAAGGTCTAAAGTATAAATATAATAATTATTTTGTTTAAACTGAACATTGAAGGATGTTGGATGTTTGCTTTTCTTGACATTCTTATAGGTACTTTGCTGTATCAAAATTGACTTTATAACTACGCAAGGACAATGAAAGAATTGGTTTCCTAGTTGACTCTATTCAAAACTGACAGGTAGAAACATGTTCAAATGAACATTCTCCAAGTCGAGTCAACATGCTAGTGTCTAAACATAAGTGCACAACTGGTATGTTTGTAATTTTGAATGCATGTGCTATATAACATTTTTTAATGTCCATGCATAGGCTAATTAGTTCACTAGAATGATTGTATAATGTATTGTATATTACAGAAATATCATGCATCATATATATCATGTCCATCATAAACATACTTAGCCATATTAAACAGTTCAATCATGTATTGAATAGATGTGCTTTATTACAATCATGATACTATTAAATAATGTGTTGTATTTTGCTTTAACTTTACCCAAATTTACTTTGAGCGCTTCTTCCTAGCTGCTTCTTCAATCGTATTTGGAATTCATTCTGCCAAAAGTTTTAAATGGGTCCTCACTAGATTGAATAAAAGTTCTAATTGTGTCATCTCTAGATTCAAAAGTATTTGTAATTCACACGAACGACATTGCCTATTGACAGGCCTCGTGGTGATGTTATTGATATTTTGCGTATTATTGAGCGTGTTTGGGAGTTTCACAAAGTACAATTCCAAGAATGACAGTGCTGGAGCTCAGCTATTCTTGGCCTGTATAGTAGGACCTTTTGGTGTCTGGATCAGGTTGTTCTTAGCTCGTTTTAATGGACGTGGCGGATCGTTAAAATGGATTCCTTTTGGGACTTTCACTGCCAACATTCTTGTTGTTTGTAATATGGTTGCATTGGCAACCAAGGGTGAATCCATGAGTTTAAGTCAGCACGGGCGACCATTGACCATCTACCATTGGGCACAATAAAATATTAAGAGTCTTTTTGATACCCCTTTTTTGTTAAAAAAAAAATTATATGCATTTTGAAATAGTGATTTGATGGAGAACGTGTGACTAAAAATAAAGAATAATTTTGAATTTACGTGTAATATTATTTTATTGAAGAATATATGGATGAAAAGAAGAAAGAAAAAATGCATTTTGAAAAAAAAAAAAAAAAGGAATCGAACAAGGTCTAAAGTATAAATATAACAATTATTTTGTTTAAACTGAACATATATAATTTTATTATAAGAATAAATGGAACTCATTAAATGACATTATTGTCAAGTTTTGTATAATTTAAAGGAAGAGTGCGAATTTGAATATTCAAAAGTGTTTGCATTAAAACAATCAAAACATAACAAATATTATTTTGTTAAATTTAGTGACACAATTTAGAAGATATCATAATGGTTAAGCTTACAATAATCATTGCTTGAAATCATGGGTTCGAATCCTCATTTCTTCCTCTTCCTATTGAATTTTAGTAAAAATTTATAGAATAAAAATAATACATGCCAAATCCCTTGACAAAGGATCCGAACCAGATACTTCTTGTACCATTTATGCCATCCTTACCAATTGGGCTACAAGGCTATTTGAAAATAGGATCAATAACCGGAAATGTAAGGTAAAGATTTAATCCATTATTAAAAAATAAAAATAAAAATTCTTCCATCGGATCCAGCTAGGGCGGCCGCCCTAGTTGGCCACCACCTAAATCCGCCACTAGCCACTAGCCATGATATAATGGAGAATACCACTAAATGGCCTCTGCAAGATGTCCTTTTGAGGAAATGATAATTTTTTATGGAAATTAGTAA